TTGTCCCTGGCGATGGTGAATCGGCCCTGCACCGACGGCGCGTAGTCGGTGAAGGCACCGTTCTCCCTGATCCCAGCGACCAATTCCAGCGCCTTCTCGGGTCTCTGGCGGATCCAGTACATCCCAAAATTCCCAAAATTGAATCCTTGCCCTCGGCAGAGGAGGCGCAGGGACCCCCCGGGGGGCTGGAGGTCCCCCCCGGACTCCAGCAGGGTCACGGCCGCTCCCCCGGCCCCAAATCTTCTCCACTTTGACCCAAATCTCCAGCAGAGCTTTCCGGGGTCTCCGAGCGCCTCCAACCCCTCAATTAACCCCGACCCATCCGTTCATTAATTGGGCACCCCCACATGGACCTTCTCCATTAATTACACAATTAAGGGCTAATTAACGATCCCCCAGGACCCCCGGGAGCCCAAAGGGGGCAGATCCCGGCCGTGGCCTGGAGCTCGCTGCCGCTGCTCGCCCTCCTGTGCTGGGGGCACTGCCAGGGGGGTTCCAGAACCTTCCAGAGCGCTGCCATGCCCAGCCCGGGACACGCCCGGATCCGGCTTTGCCTCATCCCCATCTCCCCTTTTTCCCGCAGGGCTCCGGGCGGCCGTGACCCTGCTGGAGTCCGGGGGGGACCTCCAGCCCCCCGGGGGGTCCCTGCGCCTCCTCTGCCGAGGGCAAGGATTCCAGTTTGGGGATTTTGGGATGTACTGGATCCGGCAGAGACCCGGGAAGGCGCTGGAATTGGTCGCTGGGATCAGGGAGAATGGTGCCTTCACCGACTACGCGCCATCCGTGCGTGGCCGGTTCACGATTTCCAGGGACAACGGGCAGAGCTCGGTGACGCTGAGCATGAACAACCTCCAGGACGAGGATTCCGGCGTTTATTTCTGTGCCAAATCTGCTGGTACTGGTGTTTATGGTGCTGCTGATGGTGATGGTTCTGGTGCTGGTCCTTTTCTCCCTCTCTGGGTCCCCACATGCCCCCAAACCCCAGGGTTTTGCCCCAAACCTCAACCCTTGCCCCACTCCTGACCAAGATCTTCATTTCTCCTGCTTTGGGCCAAATTTGGGGCAGAATCTCCAAATAGAAACCCCCAGAAAAGCCAATCCCAGCTGCCCCTCTTCCAACTGCTTTGGGAACAGAGATTTCCGGGGAGAAAACTGTAAAAAATCCGTTTATTGAACAGAAATTGGATAACATCAACCAATCAAACCTCTGGCTGCTCCATCAGATGGCAAATCCAGAACCAAAGTCCTTTCCACGGGGCACAGCTCGGCCCGCTCCAGTTCTGATTGGTCCCTCCGGTGCCGGAAAGTTCCGAGTCCCCGGTGGATCCCAGCCGTGAGCTGCCGGGCTTTGGCTGGGTTCTGAATCCAAAGCTCAGCCCTGACCCCGCTCCTGACCCTTTGTCCCCGAGTGTCCCCGCGCCGAGCGCTGAGCCCAAATCCATGCCCGGGCCCCCTGAGCCGGGGAGATTTGGGGCCAAAAGGGGAAAAGTGGGGGGAAATGGGGAGTGGGGGCAGCAGGGGCGGAGTTTGGGGTGAAAGGGCCCAGATTTGGGGCCCAGGGCTGGGACTGGGGGAGAAATAGCCAGGAATTGGGGACATCTCCGGTATCCATCATGGGTGGAGGGGCCACGGCCATGATGGTCCCCAACACCAGCAGCAGCATCAGCGTTAGCACTGTTGTAACGTTTGGCACAGAAATAAACCCCGGAATCCTCGTCCTGGAGGTTGTTCATGCTCAGCGTCACCGAGCTCTGCCCGTTGTCCCTGGCGATGGTGAACCGGCCCTGCACCGACGGCGCGTAGTACGTGCTGCCACCATCACCATTGATCCCTGCGACGTAATCCAGCGCCTTCCCGGGTTTCTGGCGGATCCAGTACATGGTGAATTTCCCGAACTCGAATCCATCCCCGTGGCAGAGGAGGCGCAGGGATCAGCAGCAGTGGTGGCACCACCAGATACGCGCCGTCGCGGCCGCCCGGAGCCCTGCGGGAAAAAGGGGAGATGGGGATGAGGCAAAGCCGGATCCGGGCGTGTCCCGGGGGGGACCTCCAGCCCCCCGGGGGGTCCCTGCGCCTCCTCTGCCGAGGGCAAGGATTCACATTCGGGAATTTCGACATGTTCTGGATCCGCCAGAAACCCGGGAAGGCGCTGGAATACGTCGCAGGGATCAGCAGCAGTGGTGGCACCACCAGATACGCGCCGTCGGTGAAGGGCCGGTTCACCATCGCCAGGGACAACGGGCAGAGCTCGGTGACGCTGAGCATGAACAACCTCCAGGACGAGGATTCCGGC